GGATCCTATGGTAAGAGTGTATTTACTTTTGTAAGACAACAGCAAACTCCCTTCAAAAGTGGCTGTACCATTTTGCATTCCTACCAGCAATGAATGAGAGTTCCTATTGCTCTTTGTCAGCATATGGTGGTGTCAGTGTTCTGGATTTTGGCCATTGTAATAGGTATATCTGGCACTTATTTGGTGTAACGAGTGGTATCTCATTGTTGTTTTAATTTGCATTTTTACATAGGATTTGGAGTATCTTTTCATTTACTTATTTGTCATCTGTAAATCTTTGGTGAGGTGTCTGTTAAGGTCTTTGGCTCAATTTTTTAAATCCAGTTGTTTTCTTACTGTTGAGTTTTAAGGATTCTTTGTATATTTTGGGTAATAGTCCTTTATTAGATATGGTTTTTTTGGTAAATATTTTCTCCCAATATATGATTTCAATTTTCATTTTCTTTATAATTTTTTTTTTTTTTTTTTTTTTTGCGGTACGCGGACCTCTCACTGTTGTGGCCTCTCCCATTGCAGAGCACAGGCTCCGGATGCTCAGGCTCAGCGGCCATGGCTCATGGGCCCAGCCGCTCCGCGGCATGTGGGATCTTCCCGGACTGGGGCACGAACCTGTGTCCCTGCATCGGCAGGCGGACTCTCAACCACTGCGCCACCAGGGAAGCCCCAATTTTCATTTTCTTGATAGTGTCTTTCACAGAGCAGAAAAATTTAATTTTAATGAAGTCCAACTCACCAGTTGTTTCTTTCATGGATCATACCTTTGGTGTTGTATCTAAAAGCTCATTGCCAAACCCAAGATTATCTAGATTTTTCTCCTATGTTATCTTCTAGGAGTTTTATAGTTTTGCATTTTACATTTAGATCTGTGACCCATTTTGAATTAATTTTTATGTAAGTTCTCTATCCAGATTCATTCACGTGAATACCTAATTGTTCTAGCACCATTTGTTAAAAAAAGACTATCTTTGCTCCATTGTATTACCTCTGCTCCTTTGTCAAAGATCAGCTAACTGTATTCATGTGGGTCTATTTCTGGGTTCTGTTCCATTGATCTATTTGTCTGTTGTTTCACTGATATCATCCTGTCTTGGTTACTGTAGGTTTCAAGTAAGTCTTGAAGTGCAGTACAGTGTCAGTCCTCCGACTTTGTTCTTCTTCTTCAATGTTGTATTGACTATTCTAGGTCTTTTGCCTCTCCATTCAAACTTTAGAATCAGTTTGCTAATATCCACAAAATAACCTGGTGGGATTTCAATTGGAATTGCACTAAATCTATAGATCAAGTTGGGAAGAAAAGACATCTTGACAATATTGAGTCTTTTTATCCATGAACATGGGCTATCCTCATTTATTTAGTTCTTCTTTGCTGTTTTTCATCAGAGTTTTGTAGTTTTCCTCATATATATTTGGTTAGATTTACACCTAACTACTTAATTTTGGGGGTGCTAATGCAAATGACAATGTGTAAATGACACTGTGTTTTCAATTTCAAATTCCACTTGTTTATTGCTGGTATATAGGAAAGCAATTGACTTTTGTATATTAACCTTGTATCCTACAACCTTGTTATAATCACTTCTTTGTTCCAGGGTTTTTAGTTTTTTATTCTTTTGGACTTTTTACATAGATAATCATGTTATCTGAAAACAAATTCTTCTTTCCCAACCTGCATACCTTTTACTTCCTTTTTTTTTGGGGGGGGGGGGTCAAACTGCCTTAGCTAGTACTTCCAGTATGATCTTGAAAAGAGGTGGTGAGAGGGGACACCCTTGCCTTGTTCCTGATCTTAGTGGGAAAGCTTTCAGTTCCACAGCTGTAGATTTTTTATAGATATTCTTTACAAAACTGAGGAAGTTTCCCTTTGTTCCTAGTTTACTGAGAGATTTTTTTTATCATGAATGGGTGCTGTATTTTGTCAAATGCTTTTTCTGCATCTATGATATGATTCCCAAATGATTTTTAATGTAGATATTAATAATAAGGTTAGATCACACTTCTGGGTCTGGTGAGTAGCATATAAAGAAAGATATGTTATAAATGTGTTATGCATCTCTCTTTATCTAACCCACCATATAACTGCCAAACGACAATGGTTGAATATTTACTTAACCTGAGATAACAAAGTTAAAATGAGACAGAAAAGTAGAAACCTTTAAGGAGAAATACAAGAATTCTATCAGAAATACACTAAAAACTAAAGCAAACATTTAAAATTACTATTAAAAGCTTTTCAGATATTAATCACACCAATATTCCTACCTTTTGGACAAGAAATGACCAAATGGTACTAGAAATTTTTTCAAGAACTCATGGAGTGCTTCCAAAATCATATCCTCATAGTGTACCATAAAGAAAGTCTCAACAAATATTAAGAATCAATATCATATAGACCATGATCTGTGGTCTCTATTTAACCAGATTAGAAATTAGTAATAAAAAGGAGTCTAAATACCCATGTACTGGGGAATTTGAAGTTAGACTTCTAAAAAATTCATGGATCAAAAAAAAGATCATAATGAATGTTTCATTTTACATGTATAAATTTGGGCATTTATAACCAATCCTCTCCCTAATTTGCTATAGATTAGCAAAAAACCTCTGCTACTTGGCAGAAGTAAAACCTTGAGTATTTGAAGAGAAACATATGCTGCATATGAGATATGTGGCTTGAGACAAGACTCCCTCTGGCCTTTTCTTAAACCTATCCAAAAAATCTACACATTAACCTAAAATACAAGACTTTATCCTTCCTGCAAGCACAGCTTAGCTTTGGGTTAGCTAAAGTATGCTTAACTTCCCTCCCTGACTTCATGTTTAGTGCATAGGTGATAAAATTGGTAATGATGAATAGAAATAAATAGTCAACATTAGGTTATTATGCCTCAAACTGTAGTCTGAGTTTCCTGAGAAAATCTGCTTTTTAAAGTAGCTGAACATGTCTTTCTTCAAATATACCTCTAAATCCTTAATATTTCAAACACTTCAATTAGTACAGTTTTTTCACCAAACCAACATGACATCAGATAATATTTAATATCTTTAGAAAAATCCACTTAGCTATGAGTTACAAATGTTTTACTATAAATCCTAAGAAGCACGTTCTGTAATAATCTGAAATTATGTCTTCTTTTTACTCTAAAGTGAGTTTACATAGGTCTGGTTGTTACACAGCTAAGAGTTATTTTTAAAATCCCTGCAGGTCTTACCTAGTACACATTCCTAAATAGAAATAAATAATGTTCTTGTCCCTCCAGAGTTTATAATTTAGTAAATAATCCTAGACTGGGGTAAAACCCCTCTTCTTCAAAGTTGTAAATCTTTTGATAGTTAAATCAGTCCATGTAAGAGAACAAGCGAAATAGCAAGATGACAGAAGAGGAAGTAAAACTGAAAAACAACAAACAATTAGACATGACTAATTGGCCACACTGCATCCCATTAATTTTACTTAATGTTCCTATAGTGTTAGAACAAATGACATTAAACAACCAAAAAGTAACACTGTTCTTGTTCTAAAACTCTCAGGACCCACATACAATAACTAAGGTCTCATCATGTACACTGGTTTGTAGAATGTGGAAAAGATGTGATCATTCTTTCAGAGGTGCTTAAATATCAATAAGTCAATAAGGATTTATTGAAAACATACTGTGCAAAATAGTGTATTAGGCAATGGGGAAAATAAAGGAAAACATAAGACTCTTCTACCTTGAAGTGCTTACAATCTACTTGGGAAGATAAGATTTTCATGAAGAAAGACAGAGGGGGAGGGAGGGACTGAGAAGGAAGACAAGGAGACAGAGAAAGAGAGGCATAATACAATGTATAATATTTATGACAAGATATAATTCATTGCTAAATTTTGTAAGAAAGATTAAAAGTGATATGGAAATTCAGGAAAGATGAGAGTCTGTAAAGTTGAAAATATCTTCCCAATCTCTGGAAATACTTGTAGTTTTATGCCCCTGTGAACAAGGTTATTAAATTCCATTTCATCAGATCTTCAAGTTAAATTTATATATTTAATTCCACCTCTAGTCACACAAGCACTCTTTCCTCTCCCTTCTTTGCCTACTCATCCTTGAGTACTCATTTCTTTTGGAAAGACTGTCTTTCCTTTCCCACCATCATGTATACTTTTTCTTTCTTCCTGGTCTCTCAGATGAACTTCAGCATATGGTATCAGCTACAGATGGATGCTTCAACAGCACCCTGTGCATTCTTTGTCCCAAAAATGTAATCATAGTAAAACGTGATAAATGCCATCCATCTTTCCTACTAGACCATAAGTTCCAAGACTGCAGATAACACGTTTACCTTTGATTTTTATTCTTTTCCTAGCATCTATTACAGTTCCTGGCTTAATAGGTATCTTCTGAATAAATGAATATGCAATAATATGTATCCTGTAAAGAAGATGTGGCACATATATATAATGGAATATTACTCAGCCATAAAAAGGAACAAAATTGAGTTATTTGTAGTGAGGTGGATGGACCTAGAGACTGTCATACAGAGTGAAGTAAGTCAGAAAGAGAAAAATGAATACTGTATGCTAACACATATATATGGAATCTAAAAAAAAATAAATGGTGCTGAAGAACCGAGGGGTGGGACAGGAATAAAGAGGCAGACATAGAGAATGGACTTGACATGGGGAGGGGAAAGGGTAAGCTGGGACGAAGTGAGAGAGTGGCATGGACTTATATATACTACCACATGTAAAATAGATAGCTAGTGGGAAGCAGCCACATAGCACAGGGAGATCAGCTCGGTGCTTTGTGACCACCTAGAGGGGTGGGATAGGGAGGGTGGGAGGGAGACGCGAGAGGGAGGGGATATGGGGATATATGTATAGCTGATTCACTTTGTTATACAGCAGAAACTAACACAACATTGTAAAGCAATTAAACTCTAATAAAGATGTTAAAAAAAAAGTTTCCTGGCCTTTAAAGTAAACAATATTCAGAAGAAAATAGCAGTATAGTTTTCTAACATACCATTTGAAGGGCTGAAAGTTCTTCTGTTAGTCGAGAAATCTGTACATTATATTGTTTTCTTGTATTTGCAACCTGTAAATTAAGATATCTATGAATTATTTAGGTCTACAGTAAAAATAATTAACATCCAATAAAAACATTTAGAATAATAATTTTGATAAAAAATAAAACTATAACTTTTAGGGCATAAAGGATAAGCACACGATGTATTAAAGAGTCAAGAATTTATCATAACAGTGGAAGTAAGTGAACAGGATGATGTCTCCTAATGTGTTTGTCAAATTTTGGTCTTTATAACGGGTTCTCTTTCAATTAAAATTTACCATATTAGAAATGAAAACAGAAAATTTCAAAATAATTACTTATTAATCCCTTTATAAATAATAACTAAAGTCATTACAGGTTAACAAAAAATACACTTTTGTGAAAATATGTGTATTTCCCAAAAATTAAAAAAATTTTAGAAAAGTGTTATTAGTTTACATTTTTGCAAATTTCCTTAATGTCTATGGCTTAATAGAAGATAGCTAGACTCTCATATCTATTTCCATGTTCAAGCTGTTGTGTTGTTGCATACCATCAACTTCTGGAAGACAACCCTGCAAAGTCATGAGAGAATGACTGTGAAAAAAGCAAACTGTTTTACTCTAATTATGAAAGTAGGTATGATTTTGCAGACCACCTGAACAATACTTTGAGATCTGCTACCACAGAGCAAGTCAGGAGAAAAACTGAAATATACACTAAAAATGTAATTAATAACTTTTAAGGCACTTTTGTTTTATAAACAGAAGAATATTTTTATAGTACACATCATATTTCAGTGTCACATTACTTTATAAGAAAAACCCTTATTTTAATTAGCAGTTAAATATCTTCAGAAATAGCAGAATTTATGTGTACAGAGTAATTTCAAGAATTAGTCACATCTCCTCAGGGTGGCTCCTAAGACAATATTTTTTTCTAATATCTACTCATGTTTTAATAAATTTATTTATTTATCTTTGGCTGTGTTGGGTCTTTGTTGCTGTGCGTGGGCTTTCTCTAGTTGTGGTGAGCGGGGGCTACTCTTCGTTGCAGTGTGCGGTCTTCTCATTGTGGTGGCTTCTCTTGTTGCGGAGCACATGCTCTTGGCGTGTGGGCTTCAGTAGTTGTAGCTCGCGGGCTCTAGAGCTCACGCTCAGTAGTTGTGGCACACGACTTAGTTGCTCTGTGGCATGTGGGATCTTCCCGGACCAAGGCTCGAACCCGTGTCCCCAGCATTGGCAGGCAGATTCTTAACCACTGCGCCACCAGGGAAGTCCCTACTCATGTTTTTAAAAAGACCATGAAGAATATTGATCCTGATGATATATCATCAGTACACATTTATGACCCAAAGGTTTTTGGAAATTTTATAGCATCTTATAAAATGGATTATTTCTCAAACATGATGTAAACCTTCTGTAGAACATTTACAACACTGCTATATACTGTAGTTAATCAAACTAGAGTTATCTTTTGGAAGGCCTGCCGAACATATTATATGTGGGTCCATTTCCGTTCCATTTTAGGTTATAATTTGATGTAGCTTTTCCTATGAAAAATTATATTAAAAATCAACCCACCCTATTTACAGGTCAGTGACAATCACAGTTAGCATTTATTGAGATTTAATGTGTTATGAACTGTCCAGAGTGCTTTACGTGTCATTATCTCATTAATTCTCACAACAACATGATGAAGTAGTTATTATCCCCATTATAGATAAGGAATATTCAAGCTGAAACTAAGTCATGAAGGTTCTTAGAATAAAATAATTTTGGTTCTTATAAGCCCAATCATGTCTGTCTGTCTCTCACATAGTTTTTTAAAAGTGTTCTTTTAGTATCTAGAAATGATGCAGGTAACATGAGGGTTTATGATCATAATAGTATATATATTTTGAAATCACCTATGTTAATAATTTCATAGATAGTCTTTATGAATATGCAGGAAAGCATATTAATGTAAATATTACAGTAAAAATGAAAACAGGAATTTCTACTTTTGCTAATCCATCTATCTGACAAAATATCAAATTAAAAATTACAACCAAGGCTTTTTGAAGAAGTGGCTGGCTGATTCTAGGTCTGAGGCAAGGAAAGTACAAGATGAGAAATATCATTTATCCAGGAAAACTAGAGAGACAAATTGAGAATAAAAATGAAGACTGATGGCAATGAATCATGAAATAAAAAAATAAAAACGAATCCATCATAACAAACAAAGGGGGCAGGACTCTAGCCCTAACCAAAAAATAACAACTAATAAATGTATAGAAAGATTGACAGAAATAGAATTTCTAATTACCCAATATATTTATTTATTTTAGACAAGGATTATCAATGGATGACAAAACCACTGGATGAAAGATTTTGGTGGAAAAGGATAGCTGCATGGTCTTCAAGTATCTTCCCCAATTATTCATAAAGTATAAAACGGAAAGATCTGGTCTTAACACTTTAATCATGTGGTCAAGCTTAGCATCACCAATGTACAACTGACATTACAGCTTCCTGATGTGATGAAGTGGGATGTAGGTATACACATCACTCTGCCAGAAATGACCTGAATCTAATCAAAACGAAACAGTCACATGAATCCAAATGTGGAATATTCTGAAGGATTCTACAAAGGATTCTTTGTCATATACAAAGGAAGGCAGGGGACTGGGTTAAATTGAGGGAGACTACAGAGACGTGGTAGTCAAATACAATGATGCATAAACATGGATTGGATCCTAAATTTTAAAGACCAAACAGCTATAAACAATATTTTAGGGAAATTCGAGTGTGAATTGAAGTAATGTTGATTTTTTTTAAGACATGGTAATTGTGGTGTGGTTGTGTAGCAAAATGTCCTTTTTCTGGGGAAGCAGATGACAAGATGAAGTGTCATGAGGCCTGCAGTCTATGTCTGAATGTTTGGCACAAGGGAAGAGTGTGTATGTAACATAAAGAGAGATGGAATGGGTGTAGCAAGACACTAAGAGTTTTCTGGGTGAGAGGTAAATAAGTGTTCATTATACGGCTCTTTCCTTTCTATGGGTTTGAAAATTTCTAAAAATAAAAAAAATACAAAATTCACGAGAAACAATTTCTCATAGTGATTGAGAGTAGAGCTCATCTGCAACCCAGTTCTGCTACTTCCTAGAGGTGGAACCCTAAGCGAGTTAGTTAACTACTCTGTTTTTCAGTTTTTTCATCTTTAAAATGGGTTTTTGTGGTTTCTTCCTCCTAAACTCACTTTACACTTTTTAACTTTACCACACCACTTATGAATTAATTCATATCCATACCAGAGGAAAAGGCAAATAAATGTATGTCTTCCCTCTCTCTTTATATGAAAGCAAACTTATATTTCCAAGACAGTTTTAACTTTCATAAGGCTTGCAATTCAAACTAAGAAACAACTCATTGCTTTAACACAGAAAAATAAGATTTAGTCTTGATAATGGAATTGCAAACAACAACACAATTCACAAATCATATAGGTATCTGCATGATGCAACTGAAACAACGCTAGGCTCAGTATAGCAAGGAGAAGGTTTGAGTCTAAGTTCTGGCTTTAATTAGTGTACAATTTTGAGCTAGCCAATAACCTCTCATGGGTTTCAGCTTCATTACAAATAAAATAAGAGGTTAAAGCAGATTTCTCTTGTACTCCAGTCCTAAGACACTCTAAGATACTGCAAATAACAGTGGGTTTTCTTCTCTTGCTTCTTGTATGTTCTAAGTTTCTTTTTGACCCTTCTTCCTAGCCTAAATCTCTCTCCTTCCCACTTGCCCTACCCCCTACCTCTACCTCACCCTGGCACCAATGTTAGGGGCTACTATCATGAGATGATTTTTATATGAAATTTAGCACAATTGATACAATCAGCTGACAAATAATTACCTAGGTCCACAAGGCAAAAACTCAGGTAGTATCTACTCTTAAGCTGTTGAAATTCTGTAAAATTTTGAATTTTAAATATAATTAAAACCCCCTTACTTCCTTCCTGGTTCTTATGGCAGCATCTTGCACAAGCCGAGAAACGGTTTCTTTCATTTTCTCTATATCTTCTTCTTTTTGCTTCTCCTCAAGCAGAGCCTTCAGAAAATAATAATTTGATGTTATTATAGGTCACATCGTTATTAATAGAGATTATGTAATAAATGGGTAAAAACCTATCCACTAATCACTTTCTTGAAAGCATACCTCTTATGCGAAACTTCTGAGACATCTCCACTTTGAGATCTTGCCTAAGTTATGAATGATATTTATTTTCCTTAACCTCCTCACTGACCTTGTCCTAACTAAAAATTTATTCTTTTCCTCTGATATTTGTTTTAGCCAGTAACATCACTCTTCTAATCTCTACGGCTGGGAATTTAGGATTATTTTTTAATTTTCTTTCTCCTTTATTCCCTATGTAAAACAAATAATCAAATCTAAATATTATATTCTTGGAAAAATCTCTTAGATTTCCCTTTCTTTCCATTATTTGGTTTTATTCAAATTATGTCCCTTGTCACCTCATACCTCCATCACTGTAGGCACCACCTACTTCCTCTCCATGAAATTTCTAACCAACCAATCATTTTCATCTCACCTAAAAAATACTCTTATAAGCCTAGTTCTGTTGTCAGTCACATCCCATTTCTTTGCTTCCCTGTGGAGCAAAACTCCTCTAAAGTCTGCACTTGCACATTTCCAAAACTTTGTTATGTTCACTCTAATCAGGCTTTCACTGTCCATGATCTCTATACTGCTAACCCATGAGAGTCAATTTTGCATAATTATCTTATTGATCTGTCAAACAGCACTTGAGATAATGGATTACTTTCTTTTCTTTGTTTTACTTTCTATACTTGGCTTTTAGCACACCCTAGTATTGGTTTTCCTCTTAACTCACTGATTATTCCTTTTGAGTCTGCAATGCTGTTTCTTCCTCTTCTCCTGAACCTCTCTATTATTGAACTACCCAAGTCTTAGTCCTTGGTCCTTTTCTCTATCCACATCCACCCCTTGGTGGTCTAATCCAACCTCGCAGTTTTAAATGCCATTTATATGCTGAAAAGTCCCAAGTTTACATGTCTAGTTCAAATATCTTCCTGAGCCTGGAACTCCTCCAATTTTAGGTTTGAATGAATCTTTTTTTTCTTTTTTTTTATAAATATCATTACAGAGTAAGCAGCTCTGTGTTCTGATCCCACTGTCTTGCAAAGATACCATACACATTCCTATCTCTGTTTTTGTTGTTTAATAAACTTCCTCCTACTTAAATAGGTAAGCTAGGGAGAAGTAATAGCTGTTTTGATATAACAATCTTGTCATGGAGAATGGGACAATGGGGAAAAGGGAAGTTTCATAAGAAACTATGGTAAGGTTGTGCTTCATACCTGTTTGTATGATTGGTTAAGAGAACTTCTTGGAACAAGCAACTGAAGGTGGGAACCCTCTGGTAATTAAGCAGTAAGTCAAGAGGGAACTTAATACTGTAGCCATAAACAGGCAATTTACGGTTCAAGCCCAATTTGTGGATTTGAGACTTGGATGAAAAGATTTAAGGGACAGGGATGAGTATTATTACTACTACCTTCTCTGTCCATTGTGCTCCACAGAAAATATTCATTTTTATGACCTGATGTTAAGAATGCTCATAGGCTTCGGAGAAGAGAGAGACACAATTCTGCCCTGTTCTTAATTTTTCTAGTTAACTTAGGCGTTTAGAGGAATTCCCAAGCATATTATGTATTCTGTTCCTTTCATCCATTCTAAAAGATCACAGAAGGGAATAGTATCTGAAAGGTATAAAAAGCACCTTAGCATTCCCCACAGCTTAGATTTGGATAATTGTTTCTTTTTTATTTCTTAGTAGCTTCTTACCATGCAACTTATAGCTTGTTTTGTTTTTAATAGTTCTCTTGGAAAACCATCTATCATATAAGAAAGAAAACATAAATAAAACAAAGTATTTCCTTTGTAATCCCCATATGTCCCAGTGGAGTACTATGCATACACTATGAATTCAATAAATATTGATTAAATGAAATAATAATTTAATGATTGCTTCGTAAGGGAGCCAGCAACATTAAAAACATCACTAATCATTAGAGAAATGCAAATCAAAACTACAAGGAGGTGTCACCTCACACCAGTCAGAATGGCCATCATCAAAAAATCTACAAACAATAAATGCTGGAGAGGGTGTGGAGAAAAGGGAACCCTCTTGCACTGCTGGTGGGAATGTGAATTGGTACAGCCACTATGGAGAACAGTATGGAGGTTCCTTAAAAAACTGCAAATAGAACTACCATACGACCCAGCAATCCCCCTACTGGGCATATACCCTGAGAAAACCATAATTCAAAAAGAGTCATGTACCAAAATGTTCATTGCAGCTCTATTTACAATAGCCAGGAGATGGAAACAACCTAAGTGTCCATCATCAGATGAATGGATAAAGAAGATGTGGCACATATATACAATGGAATATTACTGAGCCATAAAAAGAAACGAAATTGAGCTATTTGTAATGAGGTGGATTGACCTAGAGTCTGTCATACAGAGTGATGTAAGTCAGAAAGAGAAAGACAAATACTGTATGCTAACACATATACATGGAACTTAAGAAAAAAAAATGTCCTGAAGAACCTAGGGGTAAGAGAGGAATAAAGACACAAACCTACTAGAGAATGGACTTGAGGATATGGAGGGGGAAGGGTAAGCTGTGACAAAGTGAGAGAGTGGCACGGACATACATACACTACCAAACGTAAAATTGACAGGTAGTGGGAAGCAGCCGCATAGCACAGGGATATCAGCTCGGTGCTTTGTGACCACCTAGAGGAGTGGGATAGGGAGGGTGGGAGACGCAAGAGGGAAGGGATATGGGAACATATGTATATGTATAACTGATTCACTTTGTTATAAAGCAGAAAGTAACACACCATTGTAAAGCAATTATACTCCAATAAAGATGTAAAAAAAAAAAGCAAACCTATTTTGTGACTTCTATAAACTAAATACCATTAGATGAAAGTGGTAAAAGATGTGATATGTGGTAGCATAGTAATCACAATTATTAGAGGGTTAAAAAAAAAGGAGCAGTGACATGAAGGCTCGGGTTAATAAATCTTTATAGTTAATTTAATTCCTGTCAATTAAGCTTCTGCTCTATTAGAGTAATTGTGTAAGTAATGAAGGCGAAATGAAGATTAATAAGATTCACCTGATTCAAGTGACTAAAATACAGAGTATACATACTGCGGTAAGTACTTTAACAGATTTTTTTTTTAAAAGTATAAGACTACAGGGGATGAAGATTAGTTACACAAGGACTGGCGACATAAAAAACATCTAATGAAAGTTTTAGGAGACAGTTGACATTTTATCATATTTTATGATGTTAAGTCTTAACATCAAGAATGTATCAATAGTATGCCTATTAATGGTGAGCAATTTCATTTTTATGCATTAATTCTGTAGTTACTGAGTCCCTTACTATCAGGTCATATGGGGGAATGTTCAGTATTTCATTATTTTATTTATTATCTATTTATTATTATTTATAAACATGGTTACTAGTTTTCTTACCCGATTTTTTTGAAGGTTAGCTTCTTCCAGGAGTTGCATGCTATTTCTGGCTCTTACAATAGCTTCGTATTTCTCATTTTCTAATTCATAGCACTTTGCTTGTAAGTCTCTGGTCTGTTTTTCCAAATGTATTTTTTCTGCTCTTAATTGGGTAGCTTCTTGGATTGTCACACATAACCTAAAAATTAATAGTAACGTTGAGAAAGTTAAATATTTCTAAAAAGGAGGGAGACAGGAGATTTACAGAGTATCTATTACAGGACAGGCATTATTACAGTTACTTTCACATGTATCTTCTCATTTGATTCACACAAAAGTTCTGTAAAGTAGGTTTCATTATTTCCATTTAAAAGAATAACAAACAGACCCAGAGAGCTTAAACATTTTAAACATTTAATTAAGGTCATATGAATAATGAGCAGTGGGGCTTAGACTGAGCCTAGATATTATGACTCTGATTATGTTACATTTTCTACACTTTCCTACTTATGTTAACTCATACTGTCTTATACAGTTACATGACAGTGTTATAAAGCAAACGCTTAAAGAATAAGCTGTTCTTTCTATTTATATGGTCTTTTTGTCTTTTAGTTTTTTACTTGGTTCCCCTTTACTACTCTCTACCCAGGTAACCCATGTTAACTTACTAATGTATATCTTTGAATATTTTTCTCCATGTTCACAAAATCATATGATTCTTATATACACACACATATACACATAAATATATATACACAGTATATACACATCAATCCACAGGTTTTTAAACACAATTTTTCGTGTTATAAAAATTAAGATCGTAGTATATACCCTTTTCTGCACTTGCTTTTTTTATTCAATAACACCTTGTAAAAATCCCTTCAAGAAATACATCCAGAAGCTCTTTCCTTTCCTAGTCTGACGGATGCAACTTCTCCTCACTGTTAATTTGTATTTACTGTTAATTTGTATCTCCCTAATTACTGGAGAGTTCAGGCATATTTTAAAAGTTTGCTAGCTATGTGAATTGTCTTTCAATTTCCTCCTCATATCCTTTGCCTACTTTTTCCTGATGGCTTATTAATTTTGCTTGTCCCTTTATAAGAACTTTTTGAATATTAAGATATTTAACCCTCAGTCTGTTCTGTATGCTGCAAATATCTTTTCCCAAATCTACTTTTTTGTTGTGGCCTATTGACTCTATTTAGGAAATCTTTATTACACTAAAAATGCTCACTTGAATACAGCTAAATTTGACTATTTTTTTCAACATCTGGGATTTCAGTTTTTATAAAGATGATCTCGTTTATCCATAGATGGTTAATGTAAGCTCCTAGATTTCCTCAAAAAAATGTTATGACTTTAATATTTTTACCTGTAAATCTTTAATCAATCTGGAATTTACTTCTGAATGTGCTATAAGACAGGAGTCCAATTTAACTTTCTTCCAGATTGATAGCCAGTTGTATGAGTACCATTAGTAACTGATGAATTGAAATAAACCCTTATATCTAAAATGTGAAAATATCATGATTTACTTATCAATTGTCATGATTCACTGATCTATTTGTCTAGTCTAGGCCCAAGTCATATTAACTTGATTATAGTGGCTTTACAATATGTTCTGATATGTTCTGGTAAGACAGTTCTTCCCTTGCATTACATATGTTTCTTTGGTTTTTTTCAGGCATTTCTTTTCTAAGTGGTGGCATGAGAAGCCATAATGAACGTAACTGTATTTTCATTGTCACCCTTGCATTTCCCAGCTTTTCCATCACACATTTAGCTGTCCTATTATTTGCCATATTTAGGTTTATTAATGTTGTACCTCTTTCAAAATGGTGATTTATTTTTTCATTATATAAGGTCCCTCTTTATTCTATTTTCTGTTTTTCCCATTAAACCCTACCTTATGTAATATTAATATTGTCATTCCTGCTTTCCTTTTGTTTACAGTTGTTAATATTCTCCACTAACACCTTTATTTTAAATTGAAAACAAATCTTCATCTTTCCTTTCTTGATACCTTTGTTCTAGTTCATTTACTCTTTAAGGTATTTTCTAAAATAACACATTACTAGGCTTTAATCAAAATCTGCAGGTCTCTGCTTTTTAATGGAATACAGTCCTCTCATACTGTAATGATTTACATACATGACATGCTTCACTCCATGTTACTTTGGTTAAAGCACTGTGGTAGAAGATGAAGCAATCTCTACCTCTCCCACAGAGGTACAGAACATCTGGCACTTTACTAGCACAGTTCACCCATTCATTTCACCATGGCCTCTTGGGGGCCAGGCAGAGGAGGTGGACTCATGAAGGGTTTATGCCATCTTCATCTCCCAAGAGTCCATGTGTCTCAACAGGGCAAGCTTTGTTTAGGACTCTGTGAATTCCAATCTTCAGTCAAGGCACTCTGACACTCACCTCCAGGCTTCACACCCACACATGTCAGAAAAAGCCTTGCAACTAAAGGATTTACATGTATTTAACAGTCCATCAGCCACAGCAACCATGTGGCTCTGAAAAGTCACGCTGGTGTTAGGGGTGGAGTTATAGGAAAGTAGATTCAGATCATCAGCTTCATAATTTAAAGGTTTCCATAATTTTATAACATAAAAGACATATTACACCTGTTATTATTCTCATAAAGCACTTCTATATCCTCTACAGCCAAATCTTATATGAATCCTTTCTTTCAACTTACTAAAATTGGGCCAAATTCCCGCTCTATAATAATAGTAACAACAATGATAATAACAAACACCTGTAAGAACATTCTTTGTGCTAGGTACTTTACATATGTTAAAGAAAACATAATCTTCAATATCTTCAATGATGCTATGAAATAGGTTATAGCATTAGCCTATGAGGTAGGATATGAGATTATATCATATAAATTATGAGGTAGGTTAAATCATTATATTTATTTTATAGATAGAGAAACGGAAGAACAAAAAGGGTAAGCAATGTGCCCAAGGTTATTGATCTAGTTACTGGTGAAACTGGAGTTTGAACTCAGTCAGTTTGGGTCCAGAGTCAGTGTTCTTAACAAATATGCTATACTGCCAAATAGAAACTTCCACCTAAGGATGTCCACTCTCACCACTATTATTCAATGCAGTCTTGGAACTCCTAGCCACGGCAATCAGAGAAGGAAAAGAAATAAAAGGAATCCAAATTGGAAAAGAAGAATTAAAAATGTCACTGTTTGCAGATGACATGATACTATAGATAGAAAATCCTAAAGATGCCACCAGAAAACAACTAGAGCTAATAGATGAATTTGGTGAAGTTGCAGGAGACAAAATTAATGCACAGAAATCTCTTGCATTCCTATACACTAATGAATAAAAATCTGAAAGAGAAATTAAGGAAACAGTCCCATTTACCATTGCAACAACAAAAAAAATAAAATACCTAGGAATAAACCTATCTAAGGAGGTAAAAGACATTTACTCAGAAAACTATAGGATACTGATGAAAGAAAGCAAAGATGACATAAACAGATGGAGAGATATACCATGTTCTTGGATTGGAAGAATCAACAGTGTGAAAATGACTATACCACCCAAAGCAATCTACAGATTCAATGCAATCCCTATCAAATTACCAACAGCATTTTTCACTGAACTAGAACAAAAAATTTTACAATTTGTATGGAAACACAAAAGACCCCAAATAGCCAAAGCAAACTTGAAAAAGAAAAACAGAGCTGGAGGAATCAGGCTCCCTGACTTCAGGCTATACTGAAGCCTGAAGCTACACAAAGCTATACAAAGCTACAGTACTCAAAACAGTATGGTACTGGCACAAAAACAGAAATATAGATCAATGGAACAGGATAGAAAGCCCAGAGATAAACCCACGCACCTATGGTCGCCCAATCTATGACAAAGGAGGCAAGAATATACAATGGAGAAAAGACAGCCTCTTCAATAAGCGGTGCTGGGAAACTGGACAGTCACATGTAAAAGAATAAAACTAGAACACTCCCTAACACCACACACAAAAATAAACTCAAAATGAAATAAAGACCTAAATGTAAGACCAGACACTATAAAACGCTCACAGGAAAACAGGGAAGAACATTCTTTGACATAAATCACAGCAAGATCTTTTTTCACCTACCTCCTAGAGTAATGAAAATAAAAACAAAAATAAACAAATGGGACCTAATGAAACTTAAAAGCTTTTGCACAGCAAAGAAAAGCATAAACGAGATGAAAAGACAACCCTCAGAATGGGAGACAATATTTGCAAATGAAGCAGCTGACAAGGGATTAATCTCCAAAACATACAAATAACTCATGCAGCTCAATATCAAAAAAACAAACAACCCAATCAAAAAATGGGCAGAAGACCTAAACAGACATTTCTCCAAAGAAGACATACAGGTAGCCAAGAGGCACATGAAAAAATGCTCAACATCACTAATTATTAGAGAAATGCAGATCAAAACTACAATGAGGTATCACCTCACACCAGTCAGAATGGCCATCATCAAAAAATCTACATACAATACAGGCTGGAGAGGGAGTGGAGAAAAGGGAAGGAACCCTCTTGCACTGTTGGTGGGAATGTAAATTAATACAACCACTGTGGAAAACAGTATGGAGGTTCCTTAAAAAACCAAAACTAGAACTACCATATGACCCAGCAGTCCCACTACTGGGCATATACCCTGAGAAAACCATAATTCAAAAAGGCACATGCACCCCAATGTTCACTGCAACACTATTTACAAAAGCCAGGTCATGGAAACAACCTAAATGTCCATCGATGGATGAATGGATAAAGAAGATGTGGTACATATATATACAATGGAATATTAGTCATAAAAAGGAACAAAACTGGGTCATTTGGAGAGATGTGGATGGACCTAGAGTCTGTCATACAGAGTGAATTAAGTAAGAAAGAGAAAACACAAATATCGTATATTAACTCCTACATGTGGAATCTAGAAAATGGTACAGATGAACCTATTTGCAGGGCAGGAATAGAGATGCAGATGTAGAGAATGGACGTGTGGATATGGTGGGGGGAAGGGGGGGGATGGATGAACTGGGAGATTGGGATTGACATATATACACTACTATGTGTAAAACAGATAACTAGTGGGAACCTGCTGTATGGTGCAGGGAGCTCAGCTTGGTGCTCTGTGGTGACCTAGATGGGTGGGATTGGGGATGGGGTGGGAGGGAGGTCCAAGAGAGAGGGAATATATGTATACATATAGCTAATTCGTATAGCAGAAACTAACACAACATTGTAAAGCAACTATACCCCAATGAGGGAAAAAAAAAGAAACTTCCACCTAAATTACGATTCAGATCTATGTATCTATCTATAACTACCTAGCAAGGCGCTGTCATTTCAAGTTAAGTTGGTGGTGAGAAAACATAACAAAACCCAGGGTACTGAAGGCAAGTTTGCGTATTGAACATTATCACCTGCCAGACTCTTTCTTCAGGTTTTGGAATACACTCAGGCTTGTGCACTTCCATTCCCAGCCCACGTCAAAAGACTGATGGATCCTACTCTGGAGAAATTGGCTCAAGAAAGAGCACCCTCAGATTCTGATATCTGGGGACTGCCCAAGGAAAAAGCCAGCTCACTGCCTAAACATAATATAGTTAGTCTGCCAGACTATAAGCCCACCTATACATACCTACCTACCTATCTACTTTTTGGTATCTTACTTTTTAAAAAAATTGAGATATAATTGACATACAACATTACAGTCAATCCCCATATCTGTGGTTTCCACATTACAGGATTCAATCAACTAGAATGAAAATATTAAAAAAAAAATTTCTGAAAAGTAAAACTTTAATTTGCTGTGCACCGGCAACTATTTACATAGCATTTATATTGTATTAGTAAGTAATCTAGACATGATTTAAAGTATACAGGAGGAGGGGCTTCCCTGGAGGCGCAGTGGTTGAGAGTCCGCCTGCCGATGCAGGGGACACAGGTTCGTGCCCCGGTCTGGGAAGATCCCACATGTCGTGGAGCGGCTGGGCCCGTGAGCCATGGCCGCTGAGTCTGCGTGTCCGGAGCCTGTGCTCCACAATGGGAGAGGCCACAACAGTGAGAGGCCAGCCTACCGCCAAAAAAAAAAAAATGTATACAGGAGGATGTGCATAGGTTATATACAAACACTGTATCATTTTATATAAGGGACTTGAACATCCATGGATTTTGGTATCCACAGGGGTCTTGGATCCAAAACCCAGTGGATACTGAGGGAAAACTGTTTATTAGTTTCAGGTGTAAACATAATAATTCAGTATTTGCATATATTTTGAAATAATCACCGCAATAAGTCAAGTTGATATCACCACATATATACAATTACAATATTTTTTCTTGTGATGAGAACTTTTAAGATCTACTCTCTTAGCAACTTTCAAATATATAATACTGTATTATTAACTATAGTCACCATGCTGTATATTACATCCCCGTGATTCATTTCTTTTTTAACTGGAAGTGTGCACCTTTTGACCACCTTCATCTATTTCACCCACCCCTCCCCACTCCCTGCCTCTGGCAACCATCAATCTGTTCTCTGTATCTGTGAATTTGATTTTTAAAAACATGGAACGTTTCATGGATTTGAGTGTGGGTCATGCTAATTTTCTTTGTATATTCCAGTTTTTAGTATATGTGCTGGTGAAACAGGCACTTTGGTGTCTTATTTTTAAATATCAATGGATAGAAAGGATCATCAAGCCTTTGGAAGGAAGACAGGCACAAAGAACAAGGAATGTTAGAGAAATCAGAGACAATGCAGATGGCAGAATAAAACCTTAAAAATATTTTAATATATTTTACTAAGAGATGATATAATATTTATACTAAGATACTATAGAAAAAGAAACATTCGGAGGATAAGAAATGGCTCTTTAAAAAATTTATGATAGCTAAAATAAAATATTCAACAAACGGTTAGTTAGAAGAAAATTTAAAGGAACCCCCAAGAAAGGAGAAAATAAATGAAGAAATGGAAAATGGGAGAGAAAAAACAGGAAAATTAGGGAATCAATCCATTAGATCCAATATCCAGCTAATATTATGTTAAAAGAAAAAATGAAAAAAGAGAAAAAAATTATTCAACAGAAAATCCCGAAAATATTGCCAGAAGTGAAGAACATGAATTTCTATATTGAAATGTCCCCAGTAAAATGAGTGAAGACGAATTCTTACTAAATGTGCACATCTGCAATTGTAGAATATTAACTGTGGAGGTCGTGGGTGGATGATCCCGCAAGTCTCTGGGATGGGGTCCACGGGGGTGGGGTAACAGGTCAAACACACAAAGCAGGAATTTCGAATGACACAGGAATTTTTTTTTCTGCAGCTGGAAGCTAGATAATATGAGGAAAATGTCAACATTTTAAGGAAAAATGATTTAAAACCTAGGATTTCCAACCTAGGATTCATTACTCACCCAAACTATCACCTTTAAAGGTAGAATAAAGATATTTCTAAACAATGTCTAAAAAAATGTACCTTCCATGTGTACTCAGGAAGCTGAGGGAGAATGGTATCCCTTAAAATGGGAGCGGGGGAGGTGGAGACAACAAATCACAACAAGGAAAGAACAATGGTTCGAATTCTTAGTCTTATTGGCATATTCTTACTTTGAAAGAAACACCAAATTACAAAAATATGAAGAGGTAGTTTAAAGCAATTCTATTCATTTCACTCCGACCTTATTCAACAGAGAATATACAAATCAGTAGTCTTTCCCAGAGAACTGGCGTTCCCTGGAGATAATTCCCAGTACCCGTGAATCATCTAAAAAGCAGGGAGGCAGAGGCCTTTTTTTGGAAGATGGGAGAAAATGATTTATGCTTCCTAGGTGTTTGTGGCATTTGAAAGGATCACAAATAATAATTTTATAAATAATAAATATAATTTTAATAACTCAAATAGTAAGTATTTATGGAGGCCAAAGTGTCTTTGAGTTTATGCAACAAAGATGACCATTAAAAACATAGTTTTTCCATAGCTGGTAGTTCCATTAAACAGGATATATTCACACTTAAAACACTGGCTGAACATTGCTTATAGACACATATCAACTACACTAATAGTTCTGCTTTCTCTTATATAAAAATACAAGAGTTTTTTTAACTTTAAAATATAACTTTTTTTAATCATAATAGAAACAACATTAATTTAATAGCTCCAAAAGACAGCCAACGTAAAAATTTTCTTCTCAAAGGCAGCTAGCTGAATACTGAACTTTAAAAAATATCCTTAGATTTTCTTACGTATGCAGTAATCTCTTTTTAGGAAGCTTTCAGTTAGGTTATAACTTTATATTAAAAGCAGAAGAAAAAACAACAAAAATCTCAGAGTCTTCAGTACTAAAAAGACAAAGCATCTATGAACAACTTGATTCCTTATGAAATACTATCAGAATCAAAGGAACTGAAATTTACATATTCAGATTTCACTACTTCAAGTCTCTAGCATTTATTTTCATAGCACATAATGCTACTAAAATAACAAACGAAAAAACTACAACCACAGACTTTTCTCTAAGGTTAACAAAAAAGTTCAAGAAAGCAGTCAAATATTCAACTGTTGAAAAGTTTAGAAAAATGCAAAACAAAACCCCAAAAACCCTAGCACTTAAAAATTAGAACATCTTCCATCAGAATCTCAAGTTAGCAGTTAAAATCAATTAGTTCTGAACCCACTATGAGCAAAGAAATTAGTTTTATTAGCATTTTTGAGAACAAGAAACAGAAGCTCAAAGACACTAATTTTTTTCTGAACAAACAGTATTAGCCATGGATCTGTGACTAGAACTGAGATCTCAATTTTTGATGTCCTCAGATCAGTAGACTATTTCTGAGTGTAACAGATTCCAATCATACAGAGTAGATTTTTCAGCTATAAACCATAATATGATTTTATGTGCTGTAGTCACTGTATCTTTAATAGATTACAAATGACAATTTTCAAGTTCCTTAAGGGAATATCAAACAAGGACTAGAAAACAACAACAAAAGATTCTAGAATGAACATCTGCATTAAGACAGCAATTAAAGACAAAGTTACAGAATATATTTAAAAAGTAGCTCAGACCTTCAAAGGTAACTGAAAATTTTTGTTCCATAAGACTCCAGGAAAAACATCTATAATGATTTCTCAAGTATTTCTCAGTAAGAAATGATTTTTCTATATAATTTTTACCTAACTTCGCTATTTTTTTTTTCTGCTTTAAGATGAAAAGAACATTTCTGATTTTGGGATTAACTAAACTTGACTATTACTGTTTTTGAGAAAAGGCAAAGACAAAAATGATATTTCAATATATGTTCAAAACACATGTTCAATCTTTTGAATATGATTTTTTAATAAACAATGTCCAGCAAACCAGATTTTAAACCTATGATTATAGTTTGTTTAGCATTTATAAAATATATATTCTAGACGATATCATAAATCATAAACAAACTCTAATGTGGAATAACTTTTGAAGCTTATAGACAAAGCTAGATGTATTTAGCAGTTTACCTTGTTTCTGATTGTTTTATACTAGATTGTAATTGCTGTAAGCGCCTATCTGATGCTTCCTCTCTTCCTTGGGCAGACACCATATCCTCCTCCTAGAAAATAAAGAAACTGGATGCTTACTTTAAGTTTGTAAAAATTCAATACATCATTAAACAGCATAAAGAAAACAGTTCACTCTGTAAAGTTATTATATTGCTAGAATTTCATATGTAAGTTTAAAGCAATATCACTTTGGAAACAAACCATAAATATACTAAAAAAGGGGGAGGAGAACCTCACTATCAATTCTGTATTAGTAAAACAACAATCAAAACAGTCACTGCATATGGATTTCTATCAATATTCCAACTATTTCTATAGAGCAAGTCTAAAAAAACAATGCAGGGATTTGTTGCAGATAATTTGCCCTCAGAATATGTTCTCTTAGCTAGGTTATACCGCATTCTGTTATAATCATAGGATATTTCTACTTTAAATAGTGACGCTTTAAAATAAATTAATAGGTTTTATTTGTATCATCTCAAAAAAACCTTGCTACAGTGGATTTATTACCATGAAACATCCTAGGTTTTAGTGCCTTTGTTGTCATATAGTGTATGTGCATACTTTATAAATCCAGTCAAGTCTTTTAAGGTATTGACAAGAGAAAAGAAAACATAAATTATGTACATGTATTATTTCATATTTACAACTCCTGTTGCTCTTAATTTCTTCCTATATCTGAGTTGTCACCTGGGGTCATTTCCTTTCAGTCTAAAGAATTTCCTTCAACAGTGTTTGAAGGACAGCTCTACTAAGTGACAAAATTTCCCAGTTTTTCTTTACCTGAAAATGCCTTTATTTTGCCTTCATTTTTGAAGTACAGTTCCACTGGACATACGATTATTTATCTATCTATCTATCTATCTATCTATCTATCTATCTTTGGCTGCGTTGGATCTTCGTTGCTGCACGCAGGCCTTCTCCAGTTGCAGTGAGCAGGGGCTACTCTTTGTTGCAGTGCACGGGCTTCTCATTGTGGTGGCTTCTCTTGTTGTGAAGCACAGGCTCTAGGCACGTGGGTTTCAGCAGTTGCAGAGCATGGGCTCAGTGGTTGTGGCCCTCAGGCCCTGGAGCACGCAGGCTTCAGCAGTGGTGGCGTGTGGGCTCAGTAGTTGTGGCGCGCGGGCTCCAGGGCGTGGGCTCAGTAGTTGTGGCTCACGGGCTCTAGAGCACAGGCTCAGTAGTTGTGGCACACGGGCTGAGTTGCTCTACAGCATGTGGGATCTTCCTGGACCAAAGATTGAACCCGTGTCCCCTCCACTGGCAGGCGGGTTCTTGACCACTGCGCCACCAGGGAAGTCCCTGGACACAGAATTCTTAATGAGCATTTTTTTCCGTCAGCACTTCAAATATATTGCTTCAGTGTTTTCTGCTTCCACAATTTTTTGATGAGAGGTCAGCCTTTATTCTTATCTCTGTTCCCTGTTCATATCATTTTTCTGTTGCTGCTTTCAAGTTTTCTCTTTATAATTGGCTGTCAGTGTTGTCATGATGTGTTTAAAGTGATTTTCTTTGTGTTTATTGTACTAAGGGTTCACTGAGTTTCTTGGATTTGCTAATGTTTTCCACCAAATTTTGGAAGTTTTCAGTCATTATTTCTTTAAACATCTTTTCTGCCCCCTACTTCTGCAATTCCAATTACACTTCGATTGGCTTGCTTCATATTGTCCCACAGATCTCTGAGGTCCTGTTCATTTTTCTTTCATCTTTTAAACTCTATTCTTTGAACAGGAAAATTTCTATTGATCTGTTTTAAAGTTCACTGATTATTTCTTCTGCTCATTCCAATTAATTTTTGAGCCCATCTAATGAAATTTTTATTTGGGTTGCTTACTTTTAAACTTTAGAATTTCTATTTTTAAAATTATTTTCTAGTTCTCAATTAAACATTCTCTATCCATTCCTTCACTAAAATCTTATTTTACTCTAATTTAAAAATAGATTTTCTTTAATTCCATGAACATGTTTATAATAGCTTATTTGAAGCCTTTCTTTGCCCGCTAAATCCAACAGCTAAATCCAAACTCAATGAAAATGAGTTTCTATCAACTTCTTCTTCCTCCCCCTCCCCCACCGATCATACTTTAGTGTCTAGTAAGTTTTGATTGAAAACTGGATAATAAAGATAACGAATCACAGTTTCTCTGGATTCTGTTTTGTTTTTTCGAAGTTTATTAGCTTTTTTTGTTCAGTTAGGCAATTATCTTACCTAGACTCAAACTCTGAAGTGTGTCCCCTACAGTGTACAGCAGCTGGCATCTGTGATGAGTTCTTATTTCTTTCCACTGTTGCTCTTCTAACTAGGCTCCCAGGGAACTCACTGTGCCTGCATAATTTGAGGATCCGTCAAGATTTGGGCAGAGGTAGGGCTCATCCTCTTTGTGGCTTTGTTGCTCTTACAGATTCCCCTGTAATTTCCAGCTTTAATAATTAGATCCATCTAAATCTAAAGCCTGACCTTTCCTTGACACCTTCTTGAAACTTCCCCATTACATGTAAAAAGAACCAGTCTTTTATGCCAATAACACAAAATGTAGTATTAAACAAAACGTAGTACAAAATACTCCTTTTCCATCTACATATAACCAACTAACTAAAACTTGATCTTACATTAACATGCATTTCAGTAATGATGTGTTTAGGGATGATTATGATATTGTGATGTTTATTGACTTAGGGTATAGTGAATAGAAATAAAGTTATTTTCAATGTTACAATTTAGCTTCCTAATTTCATATTTCATATTTTGAGGACAATAAAATGATTAATTTTCCAGCAATCCTCTTTAACACCTAATCCAAAACAGATCAACAATAAAATACATAGAAAACAAAGCTACAGACATCTGCATCCAGTTGTCTTAGAAAAAGGAAGATACCTTCTTTTGCATCTGTCCTTGAAGATCTTCCGTCACTTTAGTTAACTCTTCCACTTTTGCTGCTGCAACTCTCAGATCTAACTTGGCTTGCCTAAAGTACAAAGTAAATCAACAAACACTGTTTTCATAGACCATACAAATTTTTTAAATTAGAAATCTAAATTTAGTAAAATCAGTACCAACCACGATACACCTAAAAATGAATGTAAGGGATAAATACTGAAAGATCCCTTTATGTCGAAGAGTGTGAAGAAGAAAAAATATAGCTGCAGGGATGAGTACAAAGTAGGAATCATTAATACTTTATTTGGATAAATTACGCTTTATACTCAAATAATTCAATAGATTTCATGAAGAACTTTATCATCTTGATAAATTACCTAACAAGAATGTCAGTGCATTAAGCAGAATATAGTTATGTCTATAATTTCCTGAACAGAGTTAGTGAAATATCGCTGATTGGCCTTTCTATGAAAATGAACCTAAGTTTCAACACCTTGATCATTCCTTAAACACCAGAAGTATTATATAATCACTTAACATAATGAACTGAAACATTTCCCACAAGATGGTCTAATATTTACTTTCTTCTGAGACTGAAGCTGCAAAGGACAAAAAGGACAAGTTTTTGAATGTTCTAATACTATCAAATAAGTTTCAATATCTTCTTGACTCCCCATAGAAAAAGATTTTAGAATAAAAAATAAGACTTTCTGAAACAGAAAAAAAGAGTTTTAATATTATACCAATTAAATACTACGTGTAAATACAGAACATGTGGATTATGGGGAAAAAAACATACAGTTTTAGGAAGGAAGGTACTTTAGTGTAGGAACTGCCCATACTTGTTTCCTAATTATATTTTACGTATGTATTATAAATATAAATCATATTAGTGCTGTTGAACCTAAAGAAATTATTTGATGCAAAACTCACAGCAAATGTTACTTCACTACTTTTGACTCTAACAATATTTATAATTCCATAATTGGTTAGCATAAAAACAACAGGAAATAAAAATCTAATAGCTAAAATGTATCAGGTAGTTATTAGGTTCCAGGAACTGTCCTAAATGCTTTGTAGACATCGTTTCACTTAACACAATACCTGTAAATAAGTACTATTATTATATCAAACTGAAGTCAAGAGAGTGAGGGTGACAGGTTTGCCAACTTGCCCAAGGATTCACAAACAAGAATGAAATTGGTATTTAAACCAAATCCTCTATGATATACTGTCTACCAGAAAAAGTGATACCAATAATATTTCATAAGATTAAGCACTTAAGAATATGCTTTGCTTTAAATGAATCCAATTTATAAAAATCTGAGTTTATTAGACATACATTTTTTCTACTTGCAAAATGATTCACCAAATGACAAAACAAAAACAAAAACAACTCCAAAACCACCTTACACGAATGCATGTAAAATCTAAGCTTAGAGACAATTTCAGGAGTGCATCTACTACATGAATCAATCAACAAATCTACCAGTTATAAAATTCCATATATCCTAAAAAGAAAAACTTAAGGAGTAAGATTTTATATAGTAATGACAAAACTGAGCAACTTCTGAATAAGCATAGCACCCACTCTGACTTGGCTTTCTTGCCTTGAGAAAGAGGATAATAATGCTTATTCTACTTATGTCACGGGGTTGCTGAAAACCTCAAAATAGATAATGTACATTAAAGCGCACTGTTAAGTGTAAACAAATGTAAGATCAGAGCATGATTAAAGAAAAAAATTGTTAGAGCCACAGTGGGACTGAGGTGCAATATGGGAGAATCCTAGCGTCAGGAACCCAGTTCTGTCACTAACCAGTGATATAGCTTAATGCAATTCACTTGACCACAAGACTGTCTCAGTGGTCTCATCTCAAACAACAGGGAAGTGGAAAAGATAATCTGCCCAAACAAAAACTCTATAGTAGATGGTTTTCTGATTTCTATCTAATCTGCCTAACGATTCTACTTCTAAATTGTCCCTCAGTTGTGTAATCCATTTCCACTTCCATGGCCCAACCACTGGCCTCATCATTATTTCCCAGGATTATTCCAATAGATTCCAAACTGATCTCTTTACTGCTGGTATCCTCTTTAATTCATCCTCTATAATGCATCCTATCTGCAAAAAAAAAAAAAAAAAAAGTTATCTGATGATAAAAAAATTCTTTTTTTAAAAAAAATTTATTTATTTTTTGGCTGCGATGGGACTTCGCTGCTACACGCGGGCTTTCTCTAGTTGCAGTGAATGGAGGCTACTCTTCATTGCAGTGCACGGGCTTCTCATTGCGGTGGCTTCTCTTGTTGCGGAGCATGGGCTCTAGGCGCGCGGGCTCCGTAGTTGTGGCTCACGGGCTCTAGAGTGCAGGCTGAGCAGCTGTAGCTCATGGGCTTAGTTGCTCCATAGCATGTGGGATCTTCTTGGACAAGGGCTCAAACCTGTGTCCCCTGCATTGGAAGGTGGATTCTTAACCACTGTGCCACCAGGGAAGCCCACTGATGATAAAATTCTTGTTTATTAATGATTTCTGGATTCCCCACTTCTTTGGGAATATAATCAACACTCCTCAGTGTGGCATATAGTTAGTCATCATCTGGCTTCAAAGAGTCTCATCTTTTGCTAATTCCCCTCATGTAATTTATATTCCTGGTATAACAGACTACTAACTCCCTGTTTCTGAAACACAGCCTTGCCTATTTTTTTCACATGTTTGACTTGACTAGCCGCCTTCTGCTTTTTCTGATAAATTCCTCAACAATCTTAAAGACTAACCTCAAAAATCTCATTTGAAGTCTTCTCTAACTTCTCTTAGGCAAAAGACCTTATAATACCAGCCCCCATGATTCATAATACTTTATACATTTTTAACAGATACTCCTCTCATGGAACTGTGAGTTTATGAAAAATAATATGGAATGTAAGATCATTAAAGGCAAGGATCACATTTTATTAAATTTTAAATCCTCAGGGATAGCACAGTACCTGGCATATAGTAGACAAGTAAATACATCATAAGTGAATGAAAGAAAGCACAAGAGGAAAAGAGAGAGACAGAAGAGTCATGGGTATAACTATGTCTTCATACTTTACTTAGATCTTACATATCCAATTTTTTATTCATGTGCGGAAATCCTAAAATAATAATTTTGTGAACAATTCTTCAAAATATATCTTGTTTGAAACAGAATCTTTCATTTGAAACAGAATCTCTCTCCTACATAAGAAATAAGAAATTCAGGCACTGGTCTTAAGACTTGTTTTTTATAAGTTATTAAAAAGAAAAATATTCTGAAAGCACTTAAGTTATTATATTACATTCCCTAAAACACACAAAGAACTATGTTTTGGGGGAAAATAAGCAGTAGTTTTATATATACTTATTTATTCCTACATTGTTCCACAAGATAGAAAAGAAATAAATAGTTCCTTATATCTACTTCTAGCATGAAATACTGAAACATATTCTAGAATAAAAGCTGTATCCTCCTACACCTGGCTCTACCACCACAGAAGGCCATGTGAACTGAGCCAATCACTTAACTTCTCTAAGGCTCAGAATTGCAGCCATAAACTGGAGATAAAAACAATTTTCCTGTACAGCTCACAGAATTATCATAAAGTTCAAATAAGCTAATGCATATTACATTACTTTATAAACTTTATCATAGTTTTCACAAATGTAAGCTATCATCATAATCTTGCTTCTTTTTAGATTTTGAGTTGTCAGGAATGGTGTGGTATTGCATAAATTTACAGCTGGATTGAGAAAGCTTGGGGGATGCCTGAATATCTGGCCTTGACTCTGGGCCAAAAAATGAAAAGTGAGATTTATGGTGTGCTGCTTAGAGTCTGAATCTTCTCTGGTAATGCTCACACAGGATCTGCTTACTGATGGCTTTCACCTGGTATAACTGGTTAGACAGCCAGGCTGGACTATGTGAACAGAGGGGCAAAAAACCTTCTCTAAGCTTTCCTGAAGCCAAGATTCATTGTACACATCTTGGTGGTTCAACCAGGAGACAAAGAATGTCTTTGTATGCAGAAAGACCATAGAGTACTTGTGTCTGGATGTCCTCCTATGCTTCCCTATGCTCTTTTTCTTACTGCACAACATACTTTGCCTGTAAATAGAAGCCTTATGGGAGTATGCTCTGTGGAGTCTTGTGAGTCATTTCAAATATTCAAACTTGTAAAATTTTTAAAGTTGTCAACAAAAATAATTCTCATTTTATTTTATGAAGGAACTTTAATAACTATATATTTATACTATCTTACGTGGAAATGTTTTAGACATATGTGTGCTTATGTATATACTGTTATAAAGGTCAAAACCTGTTTTCATTAAAAAAATTTGATAGATAGCCTCATACACCAGAGAGCAGACAGCAGAAGCAAGAAGAACTACAATTCTGCAGCCTGTGGAAGGAAAACCACATTCACCAAAAGACAGACAAAATGAAAAGGCAGAGGACTATGTACCAGATGAAGGAACAAGATAAAACCCCAGAAAAACAACTAAATGAAGTGGAGATAGGCAACCTTCCTGCAAAAGAATTCAAAATAATGATAGTGAAGATGATCCAGGACCTCAGAAAAAGAATGGAGGCAAAGATCGAGAAGATGCAAGAAATGTTTAACAAAGACCTAGAAGAATTAAAGAACAAGCACTTAAAAGAACTAAAAGACAAACAAACAGAGATGAACAATACAATAACTGAAATGAAATGTATACTAGAAGGAATCAATAGCAGAATAACTGAGGCAGAAGAATGGATAAGTGACCTAGAAGACAGATTGGTGGAATTCACTACCACGGAACAGAATAAAGAAAAAAGAATGAAAAGAAATGAAGACAGCCTAAGAGACCTCTGGGCAACATTAAATGCAACAACATTCGCATTATAGGGGTCCCAGAAGGAGAAGAGAGAGAGAAAGGACCTGAGAAAATATTTGAACAGATTATAGTTGAAAACTTCCCTAACATGGGAAAGGAAACAGTCACCCAAGCCCAGGAAGCACAGAGAATCCCAGGCAATATAAACCCAAACAGAAACACGCTGAGACACACAGTAATCAAACTGACA